AGCGGCTCATAGCTCTCAGCTCGCAAGAAATTGGTTCCTGTTTCATGGCACCAAGTGATCAAGGTTGTCAACTTTTGCAGCATGTCTGCATTCCGGGTGTATAAAGACGCTACAGCATTTGACGCCGGCTCTCAATTGGCAGATGATTCCCGATGGTACAGAGAGACACTGGTCAAGAAGTTGTCTTGCAACTCCTGCAGAACATGCTGGACAGTTGTAGGAGCAGAATAGATTTGTTGAAACGGAGTGTCGTTACACATCCAGACACAACTGCATCAAGAGGTGGTCTCATATGTTTAAACTTACACGCCAAAACTCTCTTTGCACGTTCTTTTCTTTCCTCCGAACAGTACATTGTCAAAGCATGAATATGTTTTCTGACCACATTCGATATCCACTGTTCTAAAGTCACACCATCCAGTTGATAAGAAGCAGAGATATGCAAAAGAACCAGGTTTTTCTATTATTCCTCGCGAGGATATCTGCTGCAACGTTCCACAAATTTGCACAACACCCCATTCTTTAAGACACAATATGTGTAGAGGATCCACGGCTGTATGTTTAATATAAAAAAAACACGAGTTACAAACATGCGTATCTACCATTCCGGTTCACTACCAGGCCACGCTGCATTACAATGCTGGATATACGGTTACCGCCTTGAACCGTCTGCCAATCAAAATTTATTTGATATTTGGTCCTGAAAAGTATGGAGCTGCAGGTTCACTCAATGCTTATAGGGCAGTATTCTCAGATGAACAAATAATTCCTCTACTGACTCATCGGAAACTGAGTGTCCTAGTTTAAAAACATTACCCCGCGAATGACTGATGCCATGAATACAATGTTGCCTATAATGCTAAGGGCTTAATTACAACACGCATTTTAGCTGGAAATCAAACATGAGCAGACAGATTATATGCTTTGGTTGGAAGGTACTGCTCAGAGAACCCGGATGATCCCTCACACCGAGATCACCTCCAGATCAATTTTAGCCATTAGATCTAATTCAAAGAAGTACATATCGGTGGTGCTGAACAAAACACGGACATTTTTCCACCCACCCCCCTAAGACAGTACTCTCTTTGTCGTTTACCATCTGTTCCTCAAGGAAACCAACCTATTTTGATATGAAAACAAGCAGTCGACAATGTGTTTGGTCAAATTGCTGTTTTTGTTGCATCCAGAAGAATCTGGTTCAACTTAATCCCCGAAATTGTACCACTGCCTAGAAAGTCGCTGCTGGAACCCGGGGCTGTGTACTTTGTTGAGATATTTGAAAACCCTGGTGCATTAGAGAATATCATAATTAAATATTACAGTAATTTTGTCCATTATCATTGTGCAGAGTAATGGGTGTCACTATACCAGTTATTTTCCACTTCGACTGGGGTGCCCACGTGCATCTTCAAAATGTTGACACAATGACATCAGGGTCATCACTGTGCTTAACGTAATCACCTATTCCTATACCAGCTGGTTTCTTAGTTGTCAGCGAGACGCGCATTTATCATTTTTCGTAACATTTTGCATGTGTGAGAGTGTCGTGATTTCATTTGGGTACCCAGCATACAAAAGTTACAGGCACATGCGATGTATATATATATATATATATATATATATATATATATAGCACATCCCGTTTGGCGGAGCATACCACAGGATTCCAAAAGTAAGTCATCGAGCTCAAACTGATTTCTTGTTGTGGCAACGAACAGTCTACTGCTGAAACATTTGTTTCAATAAATGTCAAAAATCATTCTGTTATGTTTCAGCGGTTTGTCGGCTGAAGCTTCTTTGCGATGATTTTTTGAAATGAATTCTAGTTTTCGGGATAATCCACTTATTCGGGTGTGATTTTGAGTAATCCGCAATCTTCTTAAAAATCTACCAGCAGTAAACGATATAGTCAGGATGAGATTGGTGGCATTCAGTATTTGCTATCAAAACTCAACTACAGTAAAAAAAGTTACCTTTGTGAACCGGACTAAGCTACCTTCTTCCTGTTGAGCGACATACTTCGTAGAATGTAACAGCTAAATGGAACTTTCCTGAACTAGCTCAGCCTGAGCAGATATGGTGCTCACACGGGGTTTTTCTACAACTTCCACTAGTGAAAGATATGTCATAAGAGCATGTATTGCGATCCCCGAGAATCCAGCGAGATCTTGTGGATTGCACTTTATCTGGTTTGGATCATAGTTCCATGTTTCAGAAAATGTTACGGTTTCAATAGGTTCTGAAAGTACTAAGGCCCCATGAAAACTCCATGAATTGAAGATGTTCCATGTTGTTTCGCAAGAATGCCTATCTAACCGGAGAATAAAATATTTTAGAGCTAAGCGCACTTCATGAGGCCGACGATCATCATTTACGTTTGCTAATTTGCAAGGGTATGAATCAACTAGAAGAATTGAAGAGCATAGAAAATTTGGAGCCGTCACCAAACAAGATTTAAAATGTTTCGTCGAAAAGCAGCGCATTTAGTGTGCGAGACATTTCCATGTGATAGGTAACAGCGGTGCATTACTGAACGGCATTCTGAAACGACTGTTGCTGGCTGCTGTAGAACCTCTCTACCGAAAGAACTCTAAGGACTACACAAGACCACGTATTGGACGAGAATGACGGGACATCTGCGTACTCAAGGATGACTATCCAAGGCCCTACTTCCAGCCTGAATTCTGCTCCTGGTTGCACGCACTAGCTAACTTATGGCTGTCCCGTGACTATTGAGGAGTGCACTACAACTAAATGCGATCGATACTTTCAGGCTGCGGGCGATAATCAAACTTATGGTGGGTGTACTATTATCTTTGTGTCAGAGTCGGACAGTCTGACCTGGAAGAATCCTGAAAGAACAACGTGCAAGTGAAATTTTTGAGCAAAACCAACTTTCCAGCAGTATGTACTTGCTTAAAACCACAAGTAAAAGAAACCATCCTTCAGGATTCATGAGCTTAGAGTGATTTGCTTCAATTTTGTAGGGAAAACAGGCCTTTATTTTCAGATTACTTCTCCCTTCCCACTGAAGTAAAACACATAACAAGATTGGCTTTGGAAAACTTGATAAAAAGCCGATGCAACGGGGACAAAGAACATAAGCACCACTTGTTTTCCATGATTTGGATAGCAAATAAGCACACAACGAAGTGAGTCCCGTTGGACTGCGACATACAGTCTGCCTCATCAATCATTCGTAAACTTTGGGTCAAATGACACGTAGTTTAAAACATGCTTTTGTTCTGGGCCAAGTCTGTGAACAATAGTTGTGACCTCTGTCTGGAAATCAGCATACCGGACCTCGTATGAAAAATTCGAACCCAGAGTGGTGTGTTATCCTATTCGGCACTTATTAGACAAAAACACAGGAAGCATATACGTAGTTGTTCGTGCAAACTAATAGTGCGCAATGTTTACAAGGTTGGATATGGTTTATCTGTTTGCACAAACTCAAAGTGAGACAGTGACTTTGAACGTTGTCATCTCTTTGGTATCTCCCGAACCACACACTTAAAGCGACCAGATTCCCATATTCTGAATGAGAATAGAACAGCGGGTGCACTCGGCCAGTAAATAAACCACTCAGGTTGATATCTCCATCAATAAGGCAAGCCAGATGCTCGTATCAACATCACTTCGCGCCCATGGGCTTGATCGATAGAGCTTGGTTTTCAGGCTTGGTTCTGAGCCCGGTCGACTTCCAGTTAGGATGGTCCAAATAACGAGACCCTTGTTCCCAGGAGCATTCCCAAAAGTCCCCATCTATCCTATCATCATGTCCATGTGTTTATCTGATTTTGACAGCAGAGTATATAAGTTACATTCAGTAGGTGTTTTGGCTTTTAAACCAGGTTTTTAAATGGTGTATATTTTGGAAGCATCCGGCTGACAGATACCTTAGTCAATAAAGATGAGCGTAGTAAGATCCTTTGCTCGATCTTGGTCACGCCTTAAAATTCTGTATCCTTTCCCTTTGTCTTATTTTAATATAACTGACAGATTCCTGTGTGCATACCTAAGTCGTCTTTTAGTACTAACATGATTATCTACAACCATATTTGACATGAGACAAATTAACCATGTTAGCAGGCTAGACGGAACACTACTCACAAGGCTACTGAAAACGCTTTGACTGCCAACGAACGTATTCGCACATCTTCATGCTCATTTTCTGCGCACAGTCCCCGATTGCCCGTCAAACCTACGTTCTATGCAGTTTGTGAAATTCACTCATTTGGCTGTAAAGAGAGATTCATCCGAACTTAAGCTGGATCCCTGTTTCATCATGTTCTTCAGTTGGATTCAGTTAAATGTGCGAACGCTAGGAAACCTGGACTTGACGCACAGAAATTCTTTTATCAGTATGCTATTGGGAGGGAGGCAGATGATACCAGAGCATCTTTAGGTCATTCACAATTCAATACTGACCAAGCCTTGTATCACATATTTGCTGTCTCACACTGCTGCACAAAAGTATTTACGGAGCCTGTGCAAAATACCCAAAAGTCAAAAATACCTTGTATATTTTGTTATCCGCTTTAGTCGTTCTCACACAAATGCGTAGGTGACCCTTAGGTCCCCAATCGACATGTAGAAGGGTAGGCGGTAACGAATTTGAGGAACAGACAGCTACCGACATGCAACCGTTCAAAATATAATATTGTCAGTCATTATAACTGCTACTTTCAAAACCGAACCAGATGAAACCTGATTATTGACTCCCTCCATAAGATGTCTAAGTGAGAAAGAGTTTTTAAAGATGTAGTGAAGCAATAAACTTCTGTTTGGCAGTAAGATGTCGACCTTTGCAAGGAAGAACTGTTGCCTACGATACTACTAATAATAGTACTAATGCAAGCTACTGCCAATTCCCTCCCTTTGTGTGAAGGGAGTTCATCTTAAGTTGTTGTATCCCCATCCAAATCATGCATCATTGGTCTGAGATGATTCCTAGGAAGCAGGATATCAGTTGGTTAAGGGAATTGGTAGCAGTTGTCTGGATATTTTTAGCGTCTTTACGTTTTTCTTACTGTCTTACGTATGGATCACTGTGGCGAAATGGCAAAGTGTTCCTTGATCCGTCACAAAAGTTCATAAAATCTCGAATGCTCTCCAGTGTATAACTTGAGTGCTTCGAAGGCATGTGAACTTGCTTTACAGTTTTCATTTTGGTACTGACAGGCAGATTCATTGTGTTTTACGAAACCCTAAGCTTGGATTGTTCTACAAGGAGATTCTCTTCTCGGACACACGGTCAAACTTAATCGGAGGGTTCCAGTGGTGAAATCAGTTTTTTCTGCTCGTCTCACTGTTAACTCATCGATAGGCCAAAAATCGGTCTGAGGTCACAATGACAGTCGCTTTATGACATGGGCTTCAATATCCGCCCGGTGAATACGGCAGAAACGAAGAATAAAAACCTATTTTTGCAGATACCCTCAATTTTACTTAATTAGGAGTGCTGGTCTTCTTACCCTACCCCGACATTAAAGTTGCTTTCCTTTTTCACACTTGGGCCCCAGTAGTCTCCGCTGATAAAATGCTAATCTGCTATAATAATGGGGATGCGAACGATGTATCAGCTACACATATGTATAGAAAACATCCCGAGGGATTCGTAAATCACTTAAGTCGATATTCTCGTTTTATCTACTGGCGCACTATCCCAATGAAACTCCAAGGGAACACGCGGCAAGACCTCTCATCTGAGGGCTTGTTTAGCCTTTAACATGCAGTAAACTAGCCATTGTTCTTGACCTTTGCCTAATTCCTGAATCGTTAAAACGATTCATATTTCTTTCAGCTTACTTTCCTGTTCTATATTGAATTCTTTGGCTGATGTAGGAAATAATTTCTAGTTCCAGAAGAACTGTTTTGTTTAAAGTATGATTTGATCGTCTGGCTACCTACCTAGTTTTAAGAGCGACATTTCCAACAGAATCGGAATAATTTACTCGTATTCTGTTACTTCAGACTTACGATGACATCTATGTTGCTGCTGTTTCTGGTGTTAACGAGTTGGCTTCAAGCGGGCAGTTCACAGGAAACAAGTGAACCACTACGTAAGATTTCTGGTGATTTTACAAAGTTGATTTTTTTGGTATGCTTTTTTCTAACTAGTAACAGCTAGCTGACTACTGGCGAGTAGTCTGACTGTTCCTCTTTCATAATCAGCATTTCTGCTGGAGAACTTAGTAGGTACCATGCCACAAGATTAGAAGTTGATCCGAAAGTTTGTAAAAAAACAATTGGTCAGGTTACGAAATTTGGCTGTAACTCATCACGAACTCCATGCCAATACTTGGGCGGTTTCAGCAGAGCTAAACTGGCGCTATCCATTAAGTTGTAAGTTTAAGATGAGAGAACGAACCAACTAACAGTTCGGGCTACGGCCCTTGTGTCAGTTTTTTGGTTGTGTTCATTCATGTGAAACCGGATTTGCACACAATAACTGTTCTCTGAAGCCCCATTTATGGACACAGCATGCTTTTTTGACTAACTGAATGGCATTCATCTTCTGCTCGAGAGTGTCGTGTCCACTATTGAACTTCGGTTTCTTGCATGTCTAGATTGCGCTAATGGTATTTCTTGGTAACTTCTTGACAGATTTGTTGCCAAGGCACTGTCCACATTGGCAGACCCACTTAGTTTGACGATTTCGTTTAACTTCTATTAGAAATGCAGTTCAGTGTCTGCTTTTCCGATCTCCTCAGTGCTTCTGAACTCTCTGAACGGTCTCAAACGTTTTGAAGACGATTTTCCTCAGTTGCAGCTGGTACAATGATATGTATGAAAATTCATATGATCTTACATGCGTGCCCTCCACATTTCTGTCTATCAGTAGGTGCATTCCTCGGAATGTGTTGACAACAAGTGGATCAAGAGACTAGTTAGCAGATAATTTGCACAAGTGTTTGGTAACTGAAGGGTTTCATAATTTCATGAATGTTTGAGTAAGGTCACCAGTTTTAATTTAGAGAGCGTTTGACCTGTCATTTTTCCGTCTATAATATGTTTTTGTATCATCGTAGAAACTTTGTGCAAATTAGGCAACTGGTATGGAGACAACCACCATCAAAGTCCTAAATTTTCATATCGATTTCTAACAAGCAACCACACTGAAGCGTTATGCAATTCGTGTCGCTGGAAGTGGTAGCCTTTGTTAGAGGAATCTGGCGCCAGAGAGGCTTTGTTTTTCAATGGGTAGTTGATTCTTTAAGACTTCCGATGATGAGAAAACATTGTAACTGCGACGAAGCACGTTCGCTGCGCTGTGTCCTCCTACGGAACTAAGAAACAAGTGCATGCACACGTGGACGCGTACTGGACAAGACTAGAGAACTGGGTCGAAGGTAAGTCGGTGGAACTGCTATGGATCTATGTGCGCTACATTCCACACATCCAGAATTGCTCATTTTGATCAAAAATTCCATGAGAACTGAAACTACTCTGGTCTACGGCTTAGGGTAACTTTTGGCCGAAAGTAGGAGGCTTTCCTTATTCGAAGGGGAGTGTAGCTAAACTCCTAGCTGTATATTATAACCAACTGTAACATAATGTTCAAAAAAATGCGTTATGTATACCTTATGCGGTTTCCTTTATGCGATTTCAATTGGAATGTAATACCTGTACAATGGGTACTAAGCATGGGATACTAATGAGAAATGAAATGCCCAGCTTGTT